CGCGAGGCACCAGCGGAAACTCGGGTCCGCACCGCGGGGAGGCCCGCGTCGGCCGCAACCGCTTCCGGCCGGCTCCCCGCCCCTCTCAGACCCCCGGCCGGCAAACTCGGCCGCAACCGCTTCCGGCCGGCTCCCCGCCCCTCTCAGACCCCCGGCCGGCAAACTCGGCCGCAACCGCTTCCGGCCGGCTCCCCGCCCCGCTCAGACCCCCGGCCGGCAAACTCACCATTACCCAGTCTCCGGTGTCTGGGGTCCTCCCTAAGGACCTTCCGGGACCAGCACGTCCCAGAGCAACAAAAGCTGCCGCGGAACCACTGGGCCCTCCCAGGGATAAGCGGAAGGAGCAGCGGGGACGCACCGAGCCCGCCAGGCCCGCGCTGCCTAATACGAAGACCCCACCAGGTCCCGGAAGCTGCCCCTCCCTTCGCCGTGCGCGGGAGAGTGCAGTCCCCTTCCCAGCGCCCGATTGGATAGGGCCTTAGGCCCCGCCCCCTCAGTCCTGAGTGACGGGGGATGCAATCCGACCAGGGGCTCAGTAAGGCCAGGCTCTTTCCCTGCAGTCCTTTTCTGGCACGGATTCTGCCCTGTGCTGATACCTGGCGCCCCTGGGGACTTTCCCATTTAACCGTATCCAAAGATTATGTCCATTTATGAGTAATATGTGTGATATTTACAACTGGAAACACTATGATAATTATTTTAACATTTCAGATTTCGCACTTTCCTAGCCTCTTGTCTTTTAAGGAGGCTTCTTGAATTTTCTTGCTCCCAGTGGGATTAGAGGCAGCCTGAATTTTGAAAAGAGTCCTCTCAGGTAGCAATGTCCAATAGAAATAAAATGAGAGCCACGTGTGTTATTTTAAATGTCACAGTAGCAATAGAAAAGAAAAAACGTGAAATTGATTACAATGATTTAAGCAAATGTATCCAAAAATATTGTTTCAATAGGTGATGGATATAATATTATCAATGAAGTATTTGGCTGGATATTAAATTTTCAAAATCACTCTGTATATTAAGCTACCAGCATGTTTCAATTCAGCTAGGACATTTGGATACACATGTGTGGTTTTACCACTTTAAGGTTGATCGAGGGGTCCAGGAATGCCTGCCTGTTCCTTTCATATAACTGTTCAGTATTTATTGATTACTATTTCCTGATTTCACTTATCTCAGTGACAGTTGCCAAATAGTGGTTTTCTAATTATTTTCTCCACATGTATTAGTTTTCATTCTTCTATTAAAAATTGTGTTTTCGCCCGGCGCGGTGGCTCAAGCCTGTAATCCCAGCACTTTGGGAGGCCGAGGCGGGTGGATCACGAGATCAAGAGATCGAGACCATCCTGGTCAACATGGTGAAACCCCGTCTCTACTAAAAATACAAAAACATTAGCTGGGCATGGTGGCACATGCCTGTAATCCCAGCTACTCAGGAGGCTGAGGCAGGAGAATTGCCTGAACCCAGGAGGCGGAGGTTGTGGTGAGCCGAGATTGCTCCATTGCACTCCAGCCTGGGTAACAAGAGGGAAAAACCCTCTCAAAAAAAAAAAAAAAAAAAAAAAAAAAAATTGTGTTTTCTCATGAGCTCTCTTTTACATTAAAAACTAGCCTATCAGGAAAGGAAGAATAAAAGCTTGATTCTCCCTTTTAACAACTGTCCTAATAATGACGGTGTGGCCTCAGCAAACAAAAAAATGTGAATATTTTTTCTAACCCGATTTTTTGTGTATTTAATGAGAGTCCATATACTGCAGTCTATATCTATTTTTTGAACTCAAATTATAATCCCCCCCCCCCCATTTTTTTTCTTTGAGACCGAGTCTCACTCTGTTACCCAGGCTGGAGTGCAGTGGCGTGATCTCGGCTCACTGCAATATCTGCCCCCCCCAGATTCAAGTGATTCTCGTGCCTTAGCTGGCTGAGTAGTTGGGATTACAGACACCCAGCACCACGCCTGGCTAATTTTGTATTTTTAGTAGACAACGGGGTTTCACCATATTGGCCAGGCTGGTCTCAAACTCCTGACCTCAGGTGATCCACCCACCTTGGCTTCCCAAAGTGCTGGGATTAGAGGTGTGAGCCACTGTGCCCAGCCAAATTGTCCCATCTTATGTGAGGGAGTCTTTACATTGCTCTTTTGTCCTTGAACCATGGGTCTGTATGTTTTGAAAGCTTTCTTATTTTCTGGAGCAAACAGACATTGTGTGCTTCCTTTTTTGTGTGTTACAGAAGGTGCAAAAAGATGCCCATTTGGCATTTTCCTTTTTACTAGGCGTATGGTGTTTCCTAACATGCACAAAATTCTGATTTTATATTGTAATCATTTAAAAATATTTTTTGGTTTGAGTCATAAGCCTGATTTATTCTCACCGCTTGTAGAAGTATTTACCAATGTTTTCAACTATTTGTATGTTTTCATTTTTTTTTACCATTTAGATTTCTCCTTCATTTATCCTTGATCTTACTAGAGCTTGTGAAGAATGAATTCATTTCCATCTTTGTTATGGGCATGTTCAATTCTCAAACACAAAGTATTAAGAAAGGCTCTGTGGTTTTTATTGCATAACATCTCTTACACATTTTAGTGTATTTCTGATTTTTCTACTGTCCTGATCTGTTCACCTATTTTTGTGTCAACACCATACTGCTTTAATTAGGATCATAATGTGTTTTAATGTTTTGCAGAACCAGAAACCTTCATTGTGTTTCTTTCTTGGGTTTTGGCTCTTCTTATCTGTTTGTTCATTTTTTTTGTTTTGTTTTTGAGACAGAGTGTTGCTCTGTTGCCCAGGCTGGAGTGCAGTGGCACAATCTCGGCTCACTACAACTTCTGCCTCCTGGGTTCCAGTGATTCTCCTGCCTCAGCCTCCTGAGTAGCTGGGATTACAGGCATGGCCACCATGCCCAGCCAATTTTTGTATTTTTAGTAGAGATGGGGGTTTCACCATGTTGGCCAGGCTGGTCTCGAACTCCTGACCTCAGGTGATCTCTCCACCTTGGCACCGCACCCAGCCTAATGTTTGTTCTTTCATAGAAACTTTGCAAAATTGTTTCTAGCTTTAAAAAGTGACAGAATCAAATACAATGTTGAAGTTAGCTTAAAAATAAATAGCCTCTAGTCTGTTTTCCATGAGGATTTAAAAAAAGACTTTGCTATCTTTGAAAAAAATCTATCAATTCCTATTTTAGATGGTTTTAAATTAACAGTAACAAATCTTAAATTCTGCTAAATAGACATTTTTGCATATATAGACATGATCAAGGACTGTTCTATTATCTCTATGAAAATGATGAACTTTGTCAGTTGACTTTCAAATATTTAATCATTCTTGAATTCCAGGTATAAATTGCAATTGTCATTATATGTTGTTTTTAATAATCAATTAGAATTTGCTACTATTTTATCTTATGTATTTTTATGTGTAGGCAGAAATGAGATTTTTCTGTAATATTCTATGTTGGACAACATTTGGAACTTTGTGGTACCAATGTTCCATTTGATCTTCATAACCTATTTAGAAGTAATACTTCCATTGTAATGTTCTTAAATTCAGTTAGCAGCGTTGATTTATGTGATGTTTGAAAAGACTGTAGAATATCCCTGTTAAACTACTTGATCCTGGAACTTTGTGAGCACCTCTTTTATAAACTTCTCTACTCCTGTGGATATTATTCTGTTTAGATTCCTAGCAGGGGTCTATATTGGGAAGAACTATATATGGTTTTTTGCCAGAAAATTTCCATATCATCTTGCTTTCCAAATCAATGTGCACTAAGTTGTGCTATTATTTAATAATTTAATATAAATTTATGATAGCATGTTCAATCTTCATCTAATGCATTGAGGTATTCTTTAGTTTCTTCATGTCACCTTCTTTATCTTTTATTTTTATTTTTGAGACAGGGTCTCACTTTGTCACCAGGCTGGGGTTCAGTGGGGTGATCACAGCTCACTGCAGCCTGGACCTCCCTGGGATCAGCTGATCCTCCCATCTCAGCATTCCAAGTAGCTAGGACAACAGGCACATGCCACCATGTCTGGCTGATTTTTATATTTTTTGTAGAGACAAGGTTTGGCCATTTTGTCCAGGCTGGTCTCAAACTCCTGGACTCAAGTGATCTGCCTGCCTTGGCCTTCCAAAGTGCTGGGATTACAGGTGTTAGCCACTGCACCTGGCCTACTTAGTTTCTTGAGTTCAGTGCCCACCAGGATTTGATATTCCCAAATCATGTATCTTTCTTTTACATTTTTAAGCTTATATACACACACACACACAAATATTTCTTCTTGAAGTATACTCAAGAAGTTTCTGTTGGTAACCAAATTATTCAGTGTTTTCTCATTTGGAACTATATTAAGTCACCCTTTTTTGTTAAAGGCATGTTAGGTAGGTAAGTATTCATTTCTTGCTCTAAAAACAATTTCTCCCAGCTCCCTTAATATTTATTTCATTATTTTTTTTCTATGTGTAGTATAGACTTTAATTTTTTTTCTATGTATAGTATAGACTTTAATTTTTTTTTTCTATGTGTAGTATAGACTTTTTTTTTTTTTTTTCTTTGCTTAGTGTGAGGAAGGGCGTGGAAGTGAGGGCAGGAGGGGATATGGCAGATAGCGCAAGTTTTTATGGGCCATGGGAAGATTTGGGCTTTTGCTCTAAAGGAGGTGGGAGCCCAGGATTCTGGGCAGAGGAGGGAGGGACGTGAACTGGCTCAGCTGTTCGCTGGCGCCCTCTGGCGGCTGTCGTGGGCAGTAGGCCTGGGTTGAGGACGGGAGTTCAGAGAGCAGGGAGGCAGCTGCTGTCAGGAAATCCACATGGTGTCTTGGGCTGGGAATTCAGGGAACGTGTTGGGGGGAAGGGGAGCAGCAGGGATGTGGAGGAGTTCGGGGTCTAAACAGAAGAGCACACAGGCCTGGCTGATGGATTGGATCTGCTGGGGCTTTGGTCTGAGGATGTGGAAGTTGTTTTTTTGTTCTTTTTTTTTTTTTTTTTTTTTTTAATGAAAAACGGGTTCACTAAAACAGATCCAAAGACAACACAGAAGATAAGCTACAAAACCAGCACGCCAGCAGCCCCTCCACGCCAGCCCGGGCGGCACGTGGCCAGGGCAGGGCTGAGTCTCCAGTCTCCTCCTAAGCCCAGTCACACATTTTGGCTTTTGCTTTCCTTTCCAGGTTTTTAAAACCGAAACCCAGGAGCCTGGTGGGTCTGCCTGTGCTGGGCAGCGTGTCCGGCCGGCCCAGGTCACGCTCGTGCCACGCGCCCTCCGTGGCGCCCTGGTCTCGGTGCCAGGCCTCACTCCTGCGCGATGCTCCTCAGCACGTACTTGACGGTGTAGGCGAAGGCTGCAAACCCGACTACAACAAACAAGTTCGCCAGGGCGCCGCCCAGGAGTCCGCGGTGCCCGTTGGCCTGCAGGAGCCTCGGGAGGTTTGGGACGGCCCCTGGCGCGTGCCCGTCGAGAAGCTGAATCCCGTTCTGGACAAGGTGTGTCTCCCCGTCTGGAACCACGTCTGGCAAGGGGAGAGTCTGGGGTCTGCTACTGAGTTCGTCTTGTGCTTTCTGTTTTTGTTTAATTTCCTCCACAACTTCAGGAAATAATTCACAAAAGACTTTATCTTTTAAATTAAAGGCTGACCTCTGTGCTGCTAGCTGTCTTTTCGTGAAGTCTGACATCTCTATGCTGCCCAGGGTAGGGCCCTTCTCCACCATGAAGCTCAGGAGTCCAGTCAGGATTGTGCAGACAGGCCAGGCTGGGTTCCACGTGTCCAGGTGGAAATCCGTGATAGAAAGACACAGCCTGGTGTTGCACTTACTTAGGTATTATGTAAGTACCGTCTGGAGACGGCCATGTCTGTGATTGGAGACGGAAGGTCCCGGGAGCAGAAAGCCAAACAGGAGCGGGAGAAAGAACTGGCAAAAGTCACTATCAAGAAGGAAGATCTGGAACTGATAATGACTGAGATGGAGATATCTCGAGCAGCAGCAGAACGCAGCTTGCGGGACACATGGGCAATGTGGTAGAGGCGCTTATTGCCCTAACCAACTGATGCGTGCTTTCTTAGATATACCTACTGGATTAATTTATGGCAATAAATTTTTTTTTTGTCTTAAAAAAATCATTTTTTTTTCCATTCACGAAGATTCAAACCGGCTTCATTCGCTCATAAATTACAAAATACAAAGGTGGCTGTTTTAACGACAAAACTCAAAACACTACTAAAAGGGGTTTATGTCAATGGACAAAAGTCAGTCCCTCTAGGTAGGGCCCCAAGGAGCAGCACCCAGGCCGAAGGGCGGTCTTCCTACTGCTGGGCCAGAAGTGCTGTCCTATTGGTCTTCATCTTCTCCAGCCGCTTGGCCAGGTGGCTATTGGTCATCTCCATCTTCTCAATCTTGTCCAGTGCTGTTCGTAACTCTCGTTGTAGCTTCCTTTTTTCTGCTTTCAGTTCATCTTCAACTTTCTCAGCAGTCTCAGCAGCAGTTTTACATCTTGTAACCTGTCCCTCAAGCCGGCCAATACTTTGCTTCAAGGTGGTTATATCCTGTTCTGCTTTTGAAAGCTTAAATTTGTATTCGCTAATTTGTCTGTTGGCATCTCTCTGCATTTCGATGAACTGCAAGTCTGAGCCATTCTGCAGTCCTGCCAGGTCACCCACTATGCCATCATTCCTGGAGCATTTCTGTCGTTCCTCTTCTAACTGAAGCTTCAGTTTTCTAATCTATGACAGCAGTTCTTCCTTTTCTCCAGCAAGTTTTCATAGCCTTACATCTAACGGCCCTTCTCCTGCTGACTCCAAGACCTGAGCAGCTTCCTGAGACACAACAGTGATGGCTCCAACCACTGGTTCATGACTGACATCACCACTGGGAGTGCCATCGGGGATTATAACCAAGCCATGTTTCTCAATAAGCTCATCTCTTTGCCGAAGGCCTTCTTTAAGTTCTTCCATCTTATGCTGCAGCACACTACACATATGTTTCTGCCTTTCCAACTCCTTTGATTTTTCATTTTCTCTATAAAACTCCGCCATCTGTTCCTCCTGCTCTTCAATAACATCCTTGAGTGTATATACCTGGTAGATCAGATTGTTCTTCTCATTGTCTAACTGTGCATTGGAAACCATGGCTTTCTTGTATTTTTCTTCCACTTCAGACAAAGATTCCTGTAATTCACTTAATGAGGTGTCTGGATCTGTTAAGCTGCTGGTGTCCCCACTTCCTCCTCTGGATGAGTTTTCACTTAGAGGGGTTGTTGCTGAGGCAGAATTTCGAGATGAAGGTCGTGTATAATTTTCAGCATACTGTTTGTCAGATTTTTCATCCAACTCTCTGGCAATGTTACTCAAAGTTTCATCTTCTGCGGAAAATCGGTCTTTCACAGGTGTTCTTTTCCTTCCAGAACCAGGAGTCCCCATCTTGTGTACTTAATAGCCTTTTGACAGTGATTTAACTGTGTTTTCAGCCCTGAGTGATGGTAGCTCTCCTTTCCACTGACATTTACTTCTAGATCCCTTCATTTATCTTCCCACATCTGTGTTTGGGCGCCAGCTGTGACTGCGTCGCTGTCCCGGAAGGGCCGAAGCGCTGCTCGCCCGCCGGGCGCCCGCTGGGGCGAGGGGCGAAGGGCGCGGCTTGACGACTCACTCCGGGTCCCCGGCAAGGCGGGCGGGGATGGACGCGGCGGCTCTCGGCTCCGGCAGCCGGCCAGTCGGTCACGCCGATGTGCCCTCCGCGCCGCGGCACGTCAGTCTCTAAATGGAGCTGGTACTACGCATAGAAAAGAAAAACTCATTTAGTGGGCCCGTGGCTCGCTGGGGCGTTGACGCAGCTGAAGTTATGCTGCACTTGACCTTTGAGGATCTCATGCATCTATGCAAAGGATAATGTGAAGTAAACAGTGAAGAGTGATAGCAATCTTGTCTTTAAACATGAGGGTTTCTTTTCTTTAGTTGTGCTCTTGATAGCCAGATGTTTCTTTTAACCTTTATTTCCTAAGTAAATATACACAAATGCATTCATCTTTATTGCGTCTGTTGTGATTTTTCTTGATGAGCATTTTGGTTTTTCTTTTATTGGCAAGCACTGGCTTCTATATTTCATATTTATGAATTGTAAATTTGAATTTGATGAACTACTAAAGAAATAAAAGTAATGGTGTAAAGCCAACTCAAGGGGGGAAAGAAAAGAAGTACATTAAAGTACTCAGGCTGTGAAAATTTTGGTCTCACCTTTGTAAATTATCTCTTTTTTTCCTCTGATTTTTAGTGTTTTCCTTCTCTTTGGTGTTATGCACCTTGACTGTTACTTCTTTTAAGTAATTTTTTTCTTTTTTTGACACACTGCATTTCTGAATTCAAGGATTTATGTCTGATGCTCAATTTTAAAAACTTATAAATCACCAACTCTTTGAGTACTTTCTTTTTTTAAAAATGTATTTAGCATACTTCTGAGGTTCGCTCTTGCTGCCCAGGCTGGAGTGCAATGGTGCAATCTTGGCTCACTACAACCTCTGCCACCTGGGTTCAAGCAATTCTTCTGCCTCAGCCTCCTGAGTCGCTGGGATTACAGGTATGTGCCACCACACCCGGCTAATTTTTATTTTTAGTAGAGATGGAGTTTCACCACATTGGTCAGGCTGATCTGCAATTCCCAACCTCAGGTCATCTGCCGCCCTGGCCTCCCAAAGCGCTGGGATTACAGGTGTGAGGCACCGTGCCCAGCCTACTTTAATTCTTTTAATATATTCTAGAAAAACAATGAGATTTGTTTTATTCCCTCTCATTTCACTTGCCACATGTTTAATTATATTTGTGTTTTATATTTTTTCTCCTTCTACTGTAATTATTGTGCTAAATATACCAGTTCAGTAATGTTCTCATCAGCTCAGAAGAATTTAACATTTAACCCATATATTGTATATTAAGCATATTGCTTATGTTTTTTTCAAAGTAAGTATTTCAAACATACATAAATCTGAAGGAGCCCATATGCCAAACACCTGGGTACCACTCTCTGGGGTTATCAGAACATACTCATATGTAGTGGTACTTGCTTCAGACTTTTGTTTCATGAACTAAAACTTACATATGAAATAAAGCCCCCAGAACCTCCCCCAACAGGCTTATTCCTCTACCTGTCCCTAGCGGTACCCACTCCTCTAAATTTAGAGTTCGTCACTCCTGTGCAACATTTTATTGTTTTTCTGGCCTCACTGGCACTGGTGATGCTGGTCATGCTCAGGCTCCTTTTGATGTTGGCCATGATCGGGTGGATGTCCTCCTCCTGATCCTCCACGTCCCCATCCCCATGCCTCAGGTGGTAGTGGGAGGCTCCGGTGTTCCCGTTGGCCTCTGTGGGGTAGCAGTCCTGGAAGCCCTCTTTGCTGGGACAGCAGTGGCCATCTTCTTCCTGGTCGTGGGCCTCCAGGACAGAGGGCTTGTCCTCCAGGATGGGCAGGTGGCCGTCCGGGTAGTCCTGGCTGCCCTCAGCACAGTGGCCGTGGGGGTGCAGGCCCACAGAGTCCAGTCATTCCTCTCCTGTCCCAGGGAAGGGGGCAGACGGGCCTGAGAGCAAGGGACCTCCTGGTACAGCCCCCGCAGATGCTGAAGCGAGGCGGTGGGAGGGACTGGGTGCTTTGCAGTTCTAATAGGGGCTGAGCTCTTCACTGGTCCAGTTATGAAGCATGTCCTGTGGATGCTCCTGGCACTTGTCAGTGTCCACGGGGTGCGTCCCATGGACCAGGTGCTCATCCCCGTTGCAGTCCATGCCCTGCAGGTAGCTGTTGCCCTTGGGGCAGTAGCAGATGTAGTAAGTGATGCCCTCCTCCTCAGGGAGGCCCTTGTCAAAGTCCTCCTCCTCGAAGGCGTCGTTCACATGGTTGGAGCTGGGGTCCCCGTTGGGGCTGCGGTTGTGGCACTCCTACTCCTCGGGCATGGGGCTCTCTGGCCGCAGGGTGGCCAGTTCCAGGCCCTTGGGCACGTAGTCCTCCAAGGGCAGCCCCACGTCTTCGCCCCTGGCTGTGGGGGACAGAGCCCAGCCTCGCCCCGTGGTCCAACATGCCACTCCCCACGCTCTCACGCTTCCAGTGGGCTGTGGCAGGCACTCACGTGGCCAGCATCTCCTGGAGGCAGCCGCTGTGCACTGCAGGAGACAGGCAGGACAGCAGCCCGGGACAGGCAGCGGTGACCAGCTCAGCCAAGGCAGGCTCCGGGCGGGAGTGGCCAGGCCCCGGCAGCTCAGGATCCTGGATGGCTAAGTGCGGCCATGGCTCGCCGCGGTCCTGCCGAGTCTCTGCCCGCGAAGCCGAGCTCCTCAGCGAGCTGTGCGGAACTGCACATGCCTTCTGCAGCGGAGCAGCCGCTACTGATTCCATTTTCCATTGTTTGCGTCATATTTAGCTCTTTTCCAAATATGGCTTGTCAAGCTTAGAGTTCCTTGTTCTTTGCACATTATTATATTTTTTCTATTTCCCTCATTGTATTGACAAGCATTTTAAATGTAAGCTCTATAACACAGGTAACATAGGTTGTGATTTGGATCTCCCTTATGGGCAGAACCACCTTTGAAAAGACTGTCTGCAGTCAGGTTACGTGTTTGTTTTTTTCCATCTGCTTTATGGCAATGGGCAAGTCACATGGATATGGTATATGTGTGATCACCAATATGTAAGAGAAACACTTGCTTCTTAGTTTGATTAATTTCTGGCTTGTTCCTTTGGTTTGCTTCTGTAACTGGGAAGTCATATTTTTCATTCAACTCTATTCAGCATTTTAGAGATTCCTGCAACTTTTTGAGAATTTTAGCTTTCTTCAAAGGTTTTAGAATCTGTGGTATTTCTCTAAAGAGCACAGATGTCAACATTGTATACAAAAGGAAAATACCTTTTTGTGACAGACAAGAGCAGCTCATGAAAAATCTTGTTACTTCATTTAGAATATACCATTTAAAAATATACCATATAGAAATAATAACTTGCAGAGTATAACTTTTTCATACTAGAAAACTGATTTTACATTTTGTGCCAATTTCTGAAATAAATGTACTCCACTGCAGAAAATAGAACCTATGTGTAGTGAGAACCACTGTTTTTCTATATCACTAAGCTAATATTGCAGAATTATTTACCTGAATTCAAGTTTTTAGATTCAATCACTATGCTTCTTCATTGCCACTTCCCTGAATTCATTTCTAATAGCCTGTTTGGGAGACTGATCCAAGATGGCCAATTAGAAGTGGTCTGCGGCACTCACAGAGACAAATGAAAAGGGGTGATTGAATTCAGCATCTTCAACTAAAATTTGCAGGTTCTTACATCAGGACTAACTAGGCCAAAAAAGAAAAAAAAAGAAAGAAAAAAGAAAAAAAAGAAATCCCACCCACAGAGAACAAAAAAAAGTGGGTGGAGGGGAGTGACAGCCCACCTGGGAGCGGCACAAAACTAAAGGATCACCACACCCAGCCAGAAACAGCAGTGAGCGATTGTGTGACCCCACCTGGGAAACCACACTTCTTACAAATCTTTGCAACTCATGGATCAGGAGATCTCCTTCTGAGCCCACGCCACCAGGTCCTTGGGTCCACAGAGCTGTGTGGAGTTTCAGAAGAGCAGCTGCTCAGGCAAACACAGAGACCCAAAAGTTTTACATAATCCAGTCCTGGGATTTGTGGCAAGGTAGGAAATTTATTCCTATATATCCCTAGAAAAAAAGCTGAATTCAGAAAGCTGAGCAGCATCATTCTTTAGGCCCCACTTTCATGGCACCTCACAAGGTAAGACCCACTGGCTTGGAATCCCAGCCAGCCAGTGGCAGTGGGCTGGAGTCTGCCTACGACGGGTCTGAGTTCCTGGGGAAGAGGCAACAGGCATCTCTATGGTGTGGCTGACTCAGCCACTCTAGCCTGCCAGCTGTGGAAGATACAGGTGGTCCAGATGAGGAAGGGTCCCTCCCAACGTAGTATAACTGCTCTACCTAAAAGCACCAGACTTGCTTCTTTGGGCAAGTACCTGAACCCATTCCTCTTAACTAGGTAAGGCCTCCTAACAGGGGTCTCCAGCACTTCTTATAGGTGGTATGTGAGGGTAGGCAACAGGTCAGTACCCCCTGGGACAGAGCTTCCAGAAGAAGCTGGCTGCCATCATTGCCGTTTCATGGCCTTCACTGGTGAAGCCCCCAGGCATGAGAAAAACCAAGGCAACTGGGTCTGGAGTGAACCCCCAAAAAACTACAGCACCCCTATGGTAGAGTGGCCTGTTAAAATAAAAAGAACAAACAACAACAGCAAATCCCACAAAAACCTCATTCAAAGGTCAGCAACCTCAAAGACTGAAGGTAGATAATAAACCCAGACAGATGAGAAATAATCAATTTTAAAACACTGAAAACTCAAAAAGCCAGAGAGCCTCTTCTCCTCCAAATGACCACAACACTTTTCCAGCAAGGGCAAAGAACTG